TGTTTGTATCACTGTTGTTTTCATATCATGTTTTTGTTGTTTTCATATCATGTTTTTGTCGTTTTTATATCATGCCTCTGTTGTTGTTATATCCTTTTGTTACTGTTTATTTATTAATAAATTTATATATTATTTTCATATACATTTTACTAATTTCCTTTCATTTCTCACACTTCTATTATAGAGAAAGGGCAAATAGCAATATTAAAATATCTCCGCTAATTAATTCCTTTTTAAAAATATATATTTTATTGATTTTTTTATAGAGAGGAAGGGAGAGGGATAGAGAGTTAGAAACATCGATGAGAGAGAAACATCAATCAGCTGCCTCCTGCACACTCCCCACTGGGGATGTGCCTGCAACCAAGGTACATGCCGTTGACCGGAATTGAACCCGGGATCCTTGAGTCCTCAGGCCGATGCTCTATCCACTGAGCCAAACTGGTTAGGGCAATTAATTCCCTTTTAATGTGCACAAATTTCGTACACTGGGCTACTAGTATTTTAATAACTATGGGTGGAACCAGGTGAGTACTTAAAATATTGGGGGGCGGGGGATTACTCTCTAAAGTACATGATTGTCTAACTGCTAAGCTGTATACCTAAAACTAATACAAAATGATATTGAATATAAAATATAAACTGTAATTGAAAAATAAAGTAATAAACTGGAAATAAATAGCAGAAGAGGACACAAACAAACACAAACAATGAGATATCACCTCATGCACATTAGGATGGCTACTATCAAATAACTGGAAAAATTGGAAACTTGTACACTGTCAGTGGGATTGTTAAAAAAGCAAACAATATGAAAAACAATATGGCAATTCCTATAAAAAGTAAAACTAGAACTACCATATGATCCTTACTTCTGGATATATATACATATATATATCCCCAAAAATGAAAACAAGGTCTCAAAAGGATATTAGCACAACCATATTCATAACAACACTATTCACAATACCCAAAAGTCAGAAGCAAATTAAATGTCCATTGATGGATGAATGAATAAACAAAATGTGACACAGACATACAATGGAATATTAGCCTTAAAAAGGAAAGAATTTGTGACACATAACGTGGATGATGTTTTCCCTCTTCCCAAGAAGATAAAGTTTCATCTTAGTAAACAGAGCCCTTTTTTCTTTAACTTTACAAGCAAAAGTTTATTTAGAAAGTCACAGAGATGGGAGCTATGAGCTGTAGAAGAAGTGAGCCAGCTGGGCTGCCTGGGCTTAGAAAACAAGTTATGGAGTTCAAAAGAAGGGCCCTCATGGCTTAGAAGAAGAAAGGCAAATAAAACTATGCCTCATGGAAGAAAAAGTGGGAAAGGTGAGGGCATGTTCCAGAGAGAGAAAGAGAGAGCTGAATGGATCACTTAGATAAAACTTTCCTCTGTGGCTATGATTATATTGAAGTGGTGCCGCTTCTGCCTTACCCAGACACTGAAATAGCTGGGTTCTGATATGTTCCTTGTTCCTAAATCCAGCAACAGAAAAATAATCACAACCTATCATTTTACTTCATTGTGGCATTTGAGATGAATAGATTTAGCAATTGATTTAGGGATTTAGCAATACCACCATTACAGATCATCTCTGTAATTCGTCATAAGGCACCAAGTGAACGCTGTTATTGTCCCCCTCTTACTTTAAGTAACTAATCTGACAAATAAGTAATTATTTCTAGTTTGTTAAAAACAATTTAAATTCTGTTATATTTTGAATTAACACATTATAAAATCACGCAAACTTTTGAAATGCTTTTCTTTTTTTATTTTTTGAATGTCTTGGCTAAAGCCCCAATTACTCTGATTAGTAAAAATCTTCTCTTGACTATTTTTCCTTAATATTGTCCCTTCTTTGGGATTCACAGATGTCTACTTTCCTGGGTACTTCTCCCTTTCGCTCTGTCCCTTCTTGTTCGCCTAGACAGTGGAATTCCTTGGGCTCTGCCCTGTGCTCTTTCTTTTTTCATCAACATATCCTACCTGGGTCTTATCATCTATTTCAATAGCATCAGCTCTTCCAATGAGCTGATAAATCTTTAATCTATATAAGTAGGCAAAATCTTGTAAACTGGTAGTGTTCAGTTTGCTTTAACTTTAACCTACAATAATAAATTTTGTACATTTTCAGTCGTCAGTTCACAATATAAATATAATACTGTAATCATATTTTCACAATGTAAGTTTTTTACATTGTTATCTAGGACACTCATAGTTACAATGGATAGAGATAATTGAGATGGAGAGAGTGATAAAGAAAGAGAAAATATATTAGTTAAGATACAAGTTCTCCTGCTTTAACAAAGAGATCTCAAAATGCAATGGCTTAGATAAGAGAAATCTTTTTTCTTTTAAGTGAAAATTCAGTCTAGATGATCCAGGGACTGAAAGAGTGTCTTACTTGTTATTCTGCCATTTTTGTCATGTGGCTCGCATCTTATGGCCTATGGTGGAAGTTCTGACTACAATCATCCTGTCTACATTACATCCAGTGGGAAAGAAGAAAGGAGTAGCACCAAATCTAATCCTTTCTTTTTTTACTATTTACCTTTATTGTTGAAAGTTATACAAATGTATTTCTTTTTCCTCATTGACTCCTTCTAGCCCAGCCTTCCCCCCCACCCCCCGCCCCAGGCCTTTACCACCCTATTGCCCTATTGTCTGTGTCCTTGGGTTATGTATATATGCATATAAATTATTTGGTTAATCTCTTTCTATCTACCCACCCGCTCCCAACTTCCCTCTGAGATTCCTCAGTGTGTTCCATGGTTTATGTCTTTTGATCTATTTTGTTCATTAGATTCCATCCACATATGGGTGAGATCATCTGCTACTTGTCTTGCTCTGACTGGCTTATTTGGCTTACCATAATAATCTCCAGGGCCATCCATGCTGTCTCAAAGGGTAAGAGTTCCTTCTTTTTTACTGCTGCATAACATTCCATGGTGTAGAGAAAGAAACCAAGATGGTGGCATTGGTAAACACTGGAAATTGCTGCCTCGCACAACCACTTCAAAAATACAACTAAAAGACGAAACGGGCATCATCCAGAACCACAGGAAGGCTGGCTGAGTGGAAATTCTACAACTAGAAGGAAAGAGAAAAACACTGAGACTCAGGAGGTGCAGTGTGGAAGTAAAGTGCAGAGGTACGGAGGTGCACAAGGAAAGGGCTGGCAGCTGAGGACGCGGCACAAGTCGATAGGGCTGGCAGCTGAGAACGCTGTTGTCTTTTTCAATCGGGAGGGAGTCTCAAGCTCCCAACTGCTCTGAACTCCAGTTCTGGGTGAGTCTCTGGGGACCCAGACTCATACGGGGAGAAACTGGACGGTCTGGCATTGGGCAGAACTCGAGGGCGGCTTTCTCTCAGAGGTGCTTTCAGTGATTACCGGGACCCTGAGATGCGGGGCCTCTTACGGTAGGACTGGGGAGCAGCCATAGCTGCTTGTTCTGCCCTGTTAATTCCCTGAGACCCCAACCCAACAAAGCTGTACACAGAGGCTTTTGCATATGAAAGGCCTGGCCCTTTGCAAGCTGAAAATTACCTAACAAACTACAGCTGAATCAGAGAGACGCAAAACTTCCAAAAGAAGGTCCAAGGCCCCCCAGCAGCTTGCATTGCTTCACAGCTGGGCCTCATCTGGGCACCTCCAAACCCCAAAGAAGAGGAATATCTCCATAGCTCCGGCTTGGTAGCCTCAGGCAGAGGCTAACTTAGCACCTCCTTAGAGATCCAAGAGCCAGTGTACCCAGTGGTCAGAGTGGGACCATCCAGATTACAACTCCTCAGATCCATGAGGGACACACTCAGGGGGAAGACTCAGTGAGCACCAAAGCCCCACTGAAGCAAGTCTTGCCCCAGAAGGGTGTCTCCAGCTCAGAAGTTCTCCCACTGCAGACACAGCTGATTCTCACAGCCAATTGGCCTGGAGGTCAATTCCTCCCAGTGATACCTACAACAATCAAGGCTTAACTACAACAAGACTGTGCACAAAGCCCACAAAGGGGTGCACCAAGAGTGTCCACCTCAGGTAATTGGGGAGGCTGAGCCACTGGGCCCTATAGGACACCTAGCACACAAAGCCACTCTACCAACAAAGGGAAGCATAAAAAATGAGGAGACAAAGAAACAGGTCACAAATGACAGAAATAGAGGAAAACAAACTACTGGATATAGAGTTCAAAACCACACTTTAAGGTTTTTCAAGAATTTTCTAGAA